TATATTCAATAGGCCCACACGGAATCTACTCGTGCAGAAATCTGAAGATTTACGCAGATTTTTAGCCCATCATTGAGTCTACGTATTTACTTGTGTAAATGTGTGTAAATTTATATTTACTCAGTTTTTAAAATTAATTTCACTAATAATATTGTAATGTGATAATAGTAATATTAAAATGTTCATATGATTTATTTACAATACAGTTTGTAAAGTAATATTTTCTGCCTTTTAGTACATATATTCTATGGGAGACTTGCTTGGTTCACCAAATAAATGGATCTAATTGAATTTAAACTGGAAACATTAAATAAAAGTTAAAAGGGTATTATTATTATTATTTCATTCATATATATATATATATATATATATATATATATATATATATATATATATATATATATATATATATATATATATATATATATATATATATATATATATATATATATATATATATATATATATATATATATATATATATATATATATATATATATATATATATATATATATATATATATATATATATATATATTTATGTGTGTGTGTGTGTCTGTGTGTGTGTGTGTTTGGGAGGAGGGGGGCGCCAATGGATAAGTTGTGTCAAAAGGGAGGCCCACTGTCTTAGACTTTGAAAAACCCAGCTTTAGAGTATAGCTATCAGTCTGTTAAGGGTGGAGCTATTAGTCAGTTATGGCAAGGCTGTTAGTCCTTTAAATGGATTAAAGTATTTTTAACTTCCTAGGGCTTAAGTGTCCACATATGTGGACGGCACATTTTAGCTCTTAAGTGGCTGTTTACAATACTTTGAATGTTTTATATTTTGTTACAGACATACAGTGTCATCCTGCAACTGTTTTGCAGCATGTGAAATGTCCCAAACACAATTTTTTACTGTCCAAAATGGTAATTTTTTTTGTTTTTACTCTCTGATAGTCAAAGCAAGTAAAAAAAAAAATTCTAGGTTATGTATGCGTTACAAAACAGTCAGGAAAATTTTTTCAATGTAAAATCAGACCACGAGTCCACATAAATGGACATAATTTTTCTCTAAAAGTACATCATATCAAAAGGTGATACTTAGATTTTATTCTCATTAGGTTCCAATAAGCCCAAATAGCAAAGAGAAATAAAAATGCATGTAGTAAAACACATTGGGCATTAAGAGGATTATAAATATTAAAAAGATCAATCTAATTATTTCTAATAAATGCTACTAAACTTTTTTTTTATATCCAAGTTGCAAATGTATAATATTGTCAGATTGAAGACTAGTGTAATAAAGCTGAAAATTCAGCTTTGAATTACAAGAATTATATTTTAATGTAACATAATTTTAAATAATTATATTAATTAAATGATTTAAATATTTATCTTTTTGTATAATAATAATAATAATAATTCCTTACATTTATAAAGCACTTTTCTGGGCACTCAAAGTGCTTTACACAATGGGGGGGAATCTCCTCATCCACCAGCAGTGTGCAGCATCCACCTGGATGACGCGATGGCAGCTATTTTGCTTCAGACCGCACACCACACACCAGCTGATTGGTGAAGAGGAGACAGAGTGATGAAGCCAATTATGATATGGGGATGGTTAGGAGGCCATGATGGACAGAGGCCAGTGAGCAGATTTGGCCCCTACTCTTTTTCGAAGGATATCCTGAGATTTTTAACGACCACAGAGAGTCAGGACCTCAGTTTAACGTCTCATCGAAAGGTGGTGCTCATTGAGCATTATAGTGTCCCCGTCACAATACTGGGGCATTAGGACGCACACAGACCGCAGGTCGAGCGCCCCCTGCTGGCCTCACTAACACCACTTCCGGCAGCAACCTAGCTTTCCCATGTGGTCTCCCATCCAGGTATTGACCGGGCGCAGCCCTGCTTAGCTTCAGTGGGCGACCACATGAGAGTTGCAGAGAGCTAGCTGCCGGCTAAAAATGCAGTTGAAGGCAGAATTATTCACTCTCCTGTGAAATTGATTTTTTTCAAATATTTCCCACGTGATTTTTCAGCACAGTTTTGAACATAATAGTTTTAATAACTCATTTTGTTAGTCTTTATCATTATGGCAGTGGATAATATTTTACAAGTTATTTTGCAAGATAACAGTAGAGACAAAATCCTTAACAAAAATACCCAAACTTTTGAACAGTACTGTATCTGGGATGTTACTTTCTAATTAAAATATGCCATAATTATTACTTTATGTGAGATTCAGCTTTTTTATTTGTATAGCGCTTTTACAATGTAGATTGTGTCAAAGCAGCTTCACATAAATGGTCATAGTAACTGGAACAGTGTGGTTCAGGTTTTAGTGTTTAAGTTCAGTTCAGTTTAGTTCAGCTCAGTTCAGTGTGATTTAATCATTACTGAGAGTTCAAACACTGAAGAGCAAATTCATCGATGCGTAGCTCTACCAATCCTGAACCATGCGAGGCAGTGGCGACAGCGGAGAGGGAAAAAAAACTTCACCTGATGGGAGTGAAGAAAAAAAACCTTGAGAGAACCAGACTCAGTTGGGCACGACCATTTTAATTTCTCCGCTGGCCAAAAGTTTTGTGCAGAGCTTCATTATGAGATCTGCTCATAATGATTTTAGTTTTTCTTCTCAGTATTTTTAAGATGTTTCCTGCAGACAAGAAGCGAGTGGATGCTGCTCTGGCCGCCGCCAATCTCCCGAGAGGAAAGGTGTGTGTTATATTTGATGATGACTGTAAAAATATTAATTAATTAGCAGTTTCCGTATCTAGTGATTCACAAGTGTTTATTTATGGTGGCATTATGGGATGTTGATCTCTGCTCTGTCGACTTTTATGAAAAAATTTCAACTCTACAGTTTAACAAAGTGAGTTTTATTAACATTTTAGTAGTTTGAAATAATATGTAATAAATATTATCTAGAGTAATAAGTCTGTAAAATTGCAGAAAAGTACTGCAGTTTATTACAAGGGGGTTGTACCATAATTTACAACACCAACCCAGACGATACAGCACTGCAAACTATTACAAATGATCATAAAAGTCACCTTTTCAGACTTTTCAAGGTTAAAAGTTGATGGTAGGAAGATTCCATAATGCAATTCATAAGCACAAATAAATAAATCACAAAATATGGAAAACATACTAATGACATTTTATGTGTTTAAACATGCTTTTTTGTTGTTGTTAGTTTGACACCATTAAGACTGATGTCTTCACTGAAGCAGCGTTCAAGACCTTCATAATGAATCTCTGTCCCAGACCTGAAATCAACGATATCTTTACGTCCTTGTGAGTAAAAAACACAAAACACCCCACCTTCTGGTGATAATCTGAGCACGTCTTCTTCAAATTGCAGTTTGAGGGCTCTATTTTGATGATCCATGCGCAAAGTGCAAAGCACAGGGCGTGTCAGAATCCACTTTTGCTATTTTAAGGACGGGAAAATCCGCTTTGCGCCGTGGCGCATGGTCTAACAGGGTTGAGCTCATTTTCTTAATGAGTTATAGGTGTGTTTTGAGAATAAACCAATCAGAGTCTCATCTCCTATTCCCTTTTTCCCTTTAAGAGTCAGTTGCGTCGCGCCATGGTGCATTTGCTATTTACATGACGACTTTTTAAGTGGAAAAACTGAACGCTCAACTAGCAAGAAAACAGTTAAACAGATCTGTAGTGCCAGAATGAGAAATAAGCCTCCTCATTTTTTACTTTCGCTTTCATTCTCGTGGATAGGGAAACTTCTTGTACGCACAGACATCCATTAGACTACATAATTAATTTCATTCGTTAAGCGGAAATATTTGGGGCATGCATAAAATGTTCCTGAATCAAAGTGAAAGTGCCAAACTGCAGTTAAAGTTGACAAATGAATGATTTTGGCAAATAATTCGTATACTGATGTCCATGTAAACTCAGTCACTGTCTTTCTCCTCTGCGTCTGTAGCTGCGTCCCAAATGGCACACTATACACTATGCACTCATGCACTATGTACTTTTGCACTTACACACTCAACAGGATAGTATATGTATGTAGTGTCGTCCCAAATGGCACAGTAATGGTTTTTTACTAAGAGGAAATTCGAACCGTTTCCCTGATGACGTTTGACAGTTCCCAAATCAGTGAAATAAACGAGCGAATTATCAAATAATACCTGCCGTGAGTATAACCGCATTCACCATCGGGAGGCGCTATAATCACTCTCGTAGGAGAATTTTGCTTTCACCATCCAAAATAAATAAAGTTATCCAACATGTGCGTCCGATAGCTCCGCCCCTTCTGCTACGTGAGCAAACCTGCAGTCGTTGAGTGCGTGAAGTGTCCATCATTACACACTTCATTTTAGCGGCTGAATGAGAGATCATCCTGGTAATTAAAGTGCTCTTATTAGTATTATTAGCACACTGAGTTTTCAGTGTGAACGCACTACTTACACTATTAGTACTACAAAATGGCGTAGAACAGTGCATAAGTATGCGATTTGGGACGCAGCTTGTGTGTTTGTTTTGCCTCTGTGAAAATACAGCACGTGCCCAAACCATACCTGTCAACCCTCCCGTTTTTCCCGGGATTCTCCTGTATTTTACTGTTCTATCCTGCTATTATCCCGTAAAGGTATTTTCCGTATTTCTCCCGTATTTTCAGTCTTTCTCTGAACAGCGAGCCTCCCTATACGCAACCCATACCGCCGAACCACCAGGGGTCGCCCTTTGCTTTAAAACGTGAGTCTTCTGTGCTTTCGCTTTTAGGAGTGAAAACACTTTTAAGGAAATAATAAAAACGGCTCGATTCCATTTCCTTTTGATTACAGGTGCCGTCGCCCATCCTATACAATCCTCAAAACAGTTATATAATGGTGCATGACTGTCAGCTGACGCGCTCCATAGTGATAAACAGACGCTGTTTCCTAAACGGATTCTGTACAGGCGATTTGAAACAGAGAGGAAAGGTGCGTTCGACTTCATGCAGCGCTGCGCAGATCGATCGAAATCTGTCTTAAAGCAGTGCATGCTGGTTAGAAATCTTGTCCGGATTGATGCTGCGCCGACGCCACGTGACCGTCACATGTGGCATCAAGTTACCGCGACAGCGCTCCGAGATCAGACGGCAAACTCAGACCATGCAGCTTCTGAAGAGCGACTGCAGGAGCTCTGACGACGACACCGATATTACACGATTGGCCGAGTTCACCACATGACAACAAACACGTGTATTTCGGGTTTATAATTGGACAAATTCCGATTCAAAAGTTTCAAAACAAACAATTCACTTTTCACACCCTCTCTATCCTGTACACATCTTGCTTATTAAAGACTACCAATATTGTACTGCTGTATCATCTTTTGTTAAATAATCTGGTTATAAAGGTTAGCTTGTTTGCACAGGTTTATTTTTAACTTTTTTATACAGACTATTTACTGCATTCATCTCCATGAACGATTTAAATGATATATTTTAGTGTATTTTAGTGAATAACCTAAATATGAACTCAAATAAGTCTTACAGACTTCAAATAAAATAATCATCATCGATGGTACTGCCTCCCTAAAGCTCTCTTAACAAATTAAGTTAAAGAACTAATTTATTAAATAAGTATAAAATGGATTTATTATTATAATATAAATATATATTTTATTTCCTGTGAAGCAGTTTAAAGGCTACCTGCTCTTTCTGGGAAACTTCTACATAGCTCACTTATTTTACCCTTTGTTCCTTTCAACACAATCTTTTTATTTGGATAATGAAAATACTTTCATTATCCAAATAATCTCATTTATTAAGACCTAATCAAAACAACTTGTTTTGCTTTTTACAAACAATAAGTATTAGCCTAAAGATTGATGTTTAACTCCTAGAATTTATGCGTATTGCTTTGTATTTAATAGACCTGTTCGTTTTTATGTTTATATTAACCTCTCATTTCCTCTTATTTCTCTCATGCATTTGTTATATGTTATTCATAATTCTCCCTTATTGTTTAAAAATGAACTACAGTTTGTAGAGACTGTATTCTGTTTTATTTGTAAATGTTTTGTTGTTATAAATAAAAGTTATAATGACGCCATGTGATTGGTCATCATGACTGCAGCAACTTTAAGTCCCGAAGTGTCCAGCTGTCCGTCTTGACGGCTCCGTTTTCAACTCCGCCCCGCCTGCGCTCGGCTAATCTCGTTGATCACCGGCTGCAGCTGAGCTTCATGTCGAACGCACCTAAAGTCTGCTTTTTGTGTGCGTGTTTAAACAGACATACACACATAATTAATAATAATAACATATAAGGATGTCGATCTTGGCAGGGTTTTTTTTTCCTAAACACAATTAATTTCGTCTTAAATGAGCATAAAAAGTAAAGAAAGCAGTCGAATGCTTTAGTTATAATGTTTGATGTGTGCATTTTTAAAGTGACACCTCTTATTTAATGTAATAAAGACATCTTAATAAATGATAGATGCATTCATTGCTCTTTAATCAGAATGTGCAAGTTATACAGTGGAGAAACGGCTAATGAGATTGATAGCTTGATTGTATTTCATTATAATAGCTATTAAGTTTAATAAGCTGAACTGTTTGCTAATGTATTTGCTGCTAATGTATATATTTATTTTTCTTTTGGTAATAATAATTTTAAAACATATAACTGACTATTTAACTGTTTAATTAATTAAAATGAAACAGCTCCAAATGAACATATTTAGTAATATTTGTTTAAGGAGAGGGGGGGGGGTGTTGGGGGAATCCCTTATTATGTTGGGCATATCCCTTATTTTCACATCCCAATGTTGACAGGTATGGCCCAAACTGAAACTCCCATTTATATCCAAAACCTTCCCTCTTTCCCTTCCCCGACACTCCCCCCAAAACAGAGCTGGACACGCCCACTTTCCTGACTTTTTCCAAACTAGAGGTGTGAAAACACCCTGCTGAAACAGGGAGATTTCCTAGCCCTTTAAATAAAATAATTAAAAAATATATATAAAAATATATCACCCTAATATGACGGTCTATACACTACACCCACACACATGTCTGTCCAAACAGCTAGGTACAGCATAGGTACCCTTTAAGACAGGGGTTCCCAAACTTTTTAGCCCGCGACCCCCAAAATAACAATTCCAGTGACTCCCGACCCCCAATATCCTCTGAGGTGGTTATAAATACAGAAACCTTGCATGCAATGACGCAGACACACCAATTAAATTTGTGTCAGTGCTTTAAATGTGCCAGAAAGTATAACCTGATGTTATAAAATCAAAATGCATCTGACGCTATTGCTGCCTTTAATATAATGTAATTACCCCAGGGGTCGCAATCCAATAGAACTAGTAACTATAAGCTACTATAGTAACTATATAGTATATAGTAACTGTAAACGACTATTTTTATTTTCAGTATAGTTATGGATAAAATATGGTAATTCTTATGATTTAATAAATATAAATAGATTTTTGGAAATCACCAGGCGACCCCCCTTCATTGCCCCGCGACCCCTCGGGGGGTCCCGACCCCCACTTTGGGAACCAATGCTTTAAGAGAATAAGGACAAATGTTTTAGAGCACAGGTGTCAAACTCAGTTCCAAAAGGGCCGGAGCTCTGCACAGTTTAGTTCCAACCCTAATTAAACACACCTGATCCAACTAATTGAGTCCTTCAGGCTTGTTTGAAACCTACAGGTAAGTGTGTTGGAGCAGGGTTGGAACTGAACTGTGCAGGGCTTCGGCCCTCCAGGAATTGAGTTTGACACCCCTGTTTTAGACCATGCATTGAGTGCACCGCCATTTTTTCTCGCCTTAAAATAGCAATTTTGAATTCAGACACGTGCTGCTTTAGACCTTGAGTTTAGATGGTTTAACGTCCTGTGAAATTCTTCAAAATCTGCGTTTATGTTCAGTGTGTGATCAAATTTTAACTGAAACATGTATACAAGCCGGGACATCCAGTAGCTCCTCCCCTTTAAAAAAAACAGCCAATAGCATTTTGTTTTTATCACAGCTCTGCAAGTGAGAGTGGTTGAGCTCAAGCGCATCAAATGAAAAGCAAATGAGAAGAAAGGGGTGGGGCATGTCAGATACTGGAGAGCATCTGATTGGTTAAAAGATTTGATGAGAAACTGAAGTATGAGGTGACGGAAAAAAAAATTGATCCATTTAGGCGGAAGTGACAAACTGCAAGCTTTGGATCAGGTTTATATCTACTAAATGTGAGTTTTCTCAGTGCTTTTGGAGCACACTAGACTATGGATATCCTTAAGACTAACTTACTGATACTGACATCTAAAATAATTCTGACTTCACCTTTAGAGCTCCATTAGTCAATATTTGATCATGTCTTTTCGTAGCACCAAGGGAAAGGGTTTCATGACGAAGGAGATGTTTGCAAAGTTCCTGAACGAGAAGCAGCGAGACTCTCGCCTGAACGAGGAGCTGTTTCCACCCATGAGGCCCGAACAGGTGAAGAGTCTCATCGAGAAATACGAGCCGAGCTCCTCCAACGCCAGCCGCAGTGAGTGTGCACGCAAACACCATTCAGACACAATATACAGACTAACCATTGATCAATATGAGTCTTTCAGTGAGGTTAATACTTTGGCGTTACTGCAAGAAGGTCGCTGGTTCGAGCCTCGGCTGGGTCAGTTGGCATTTCTGTGTGGAGTTTGCATGTTCTCCTTGTGTTGGCGTGGGTTTCCTAAAACGAAAGCACAGAACAGACTCACATTTAAGAGCAAGGGGTGGCTCCTGGTGGTTCGGCGGTATGGGTTGCATGTAGATTAATCACCATGTTTGTAAACATTTAGGATGTGAGCACAGGGAGGTGGCAGAAAAAACCGGGAGCGCCAGCATTTACAGCGAGTTTGTTGTTTTCTTAAAAATAAGATATGTTGATTACACATTATGTATATTATTTACATAATGCTTTTAGCGTATTATAACAGCTTGTCACCCAATGATAAGCAAAGTGATTCTGCAAAATCAATGTTAAAGTGATTTTATAGCACCCTCCCAATAGATATTGGATAAGATGAAATGACCAAGCATCCAGCCCCAAATATACAATCTCATTGAAGCTGGAAGTGATTTTACAAGAGAGAAGTTAAAGGCCTACAAGTCTGTGTAGTGCTAAAAACTGAGGTTCTGCCTAGCCAAAGACAAGGAAAGAAGACAGAGCTGTACAAGGCCTGAGTAATTAATCATCAACAAGCGAAACTACTGCATTCTAACAGCAAACTACACCTGTACAGCAGGATATGCAGTGGCGCAAAAAGGGGGTATGCAGTATATGCGGCGCATAGGGGCGCCACACATGTGGGGGCGCCATTGTGCCAAAACTTTTTTGTGAAATTGTCCTCATTAAAAGTTTCAAATAATAAAAAAAAATAAACATTTTTGTTTCAAAATGTTTATTCTGCATTTTATATGAATATTATATTGTATTTTATTAAATAAAAAATTATACCACCCCTGCTCCTCCGTTGACCATTTGATTGATCCATTGCTCAGGTACAGTCACGTGTTCAAAATGGAGAGAAGAGTAAAGAGAAGCGGAGCGCAAAATAGAAAACTAAAAAGAACAAACTAAGGCTGCGTCCGAAACCGCATACTTCCATACTATACAGTACGCTAAAATCAGTATGCGAGCCGAGTAGTATGTCCGAATTCATAGAATTTGAAAATCAGTATGCGAGAAGTACCCGGATGACTTACGTACTACTTCCGGCGAGATTCTGAAGTGCGCATCCCATGCACGTTGCGCTATCCCATAATGCCCCGTGAGAGAATTCATGAATGGAAGTGAGGTGACGCAACTGATGCAGGTAGGTCACATGACCATGACAAAATGGCGGATGTAATACGTCCGAATTCCATTCATACTTTTCACATTCATACTGTATAGAACGTACTTTTCTAACGGCCGAGTAGTACGTTTACATTCAAATGCAGTACCTGCTGAGTAGTAGGTGGGCCAATGCCTTAAAATGAAAACTGCCATACAAAACTGATTAGAGATTGGTAAGCTTAATCCACACTACTATTACCATACTTTCAGTGAACTTCTTGTGAGCGACGGGATGCCATATCATTAATTATTCATTATCGCCACCCAGTCACTAGGCTTTTACTTAACATAAATGCAGACGGGGTGGATTTGTCCCGGCAGGGGGACAGCAACGCGCGGCCACACATGAAATTGCAAACCTGTCTGTCTGTCACTCAGCACCGTTATACTTGAATTAACTGATTTAGAGGCTGCATAAGGGCGGCGATCGACGCATAAAGCTTTAGCTACTGGAAAGGACGTGAAGAATGCGGCCGTTTCTATATTCATTTCAACATGCTGTCAATCCAAAAGCATAATTCTCTTAAACAGTTATTGCAATTATATTAAATTTATATCTCAATTGATCGGCTCTGTGTAGCTGCTACTTTCACTTTTCATAGAAATACGGGAAAATACATACACGGAAGAGCGAATAGAATGGTAAAATACCATAATTAATATGGCAAAACGGGAGGGTTTATAGGTGTATATATGGGCACACACATTTTACTTCAAAATCATTTAAAACAATAACATGCAGTTACACAGCCAAGTGTAAAGTAAAGTTCATGTAGATGTAAAAGTTTTATCAAAATAAACTGTCAAATCATACTTACAGTTGAGGTCAAAAGTCAAAAGAATTATCAGAAATATGTTCTTTATGTATTATTATCTATTATTAATTAATGAAATAATTGTTTTGCCGAAATAAGACGGATCACACAAAATGTATGTTTAAGTACAGACTTAATTATTAGGGCCAGACAGAATCTGCTGACATTTTTTGCTATTTATGCTGAGAATTTTGTAAAAAAAAAAAAAAAAAAATCTGTAGATTTATGATTTTAGGATTAT